CGGCTTGTAACATAGTGCCTCAACTAGCTACGCGACCTCCTGCCCCCCTCCACTGGTTTTAATATTTCAAAGAGACTACAAAGAGCAGTGTTCCAATTTACGAAATTAGCAGAAATTACAACATGAAAATATCAGCAAGGAAGACAAAAATATTTGCATTTCGTGGAAAGTATCCGATCTCAACACAAACTGTGATCATGACAATGCCACTGAATTCACTTTAAATTCCGAGGCGAGGATGTGACGTACAAAGTGGATCAGGATATAAACCAGAAAACTAAAAAAGAAAAAGAAATTCAGGCTGTTTGTGGAACATTTAGCCGATCACTGTACGGGAAAACAAAACGAGACACGCTGCAAAGATTGTACACCTGTAGGGTTGTACCTGTCTTGCTGTATGGCAGTGAGGCATGCGCAGTGATGAGCATGGATGAAAGATTACACTCGCTCACGGTGCCCCACGGGGCGTGCCTGCTTGTTTGAGAACCGTTGGGCTGGGAATGTCAAACGCAAATGAAGAAAGTTGTTACAGTGTAAGATGGTGAATTCGTTTGTACGCATACCGTCGTTCGGAGGAGTAAGTACGTCCAAATCACTGGAAGTGGCTTCGTTAAGTATGTGTCCTGCTACTTAGTTGTCTTTCTCCTTATACGGCCATTTTTGGTCCTGATATCATATGCCATTGGTTTTCTCCCTGTACAACCATCTTCGGCCCTGCTATCATATGCCATTGGTCTTCTCCCTGTACAGCAATCTTCGGCCTTGTTATCATATGTCGAAATTCTTATATGCTGGATACGATTCCGGTCCTAAGGGCGAGGGAACACTAAGAATACTGGCAACCTCATCTTCCGAGAATTGTTATCAGACTGAGTTGAATGCGCGGAACTGACTTGAACAGCCCAAACTGAGGAAACAGCAATGCGAATGCAGTGCAGCTCGCGGGAGACTAAGAAACTCAACTCCCAGGCAACTGAACAAGTCAGTCTTCTCGCAGTTGCGTTGCAGTGTAGTTTCCTAGTTTTAACGCACTGCTGTGATCCATTTGCTTCTTCAGATGGCACGAAAGTTTGATGAAGGTGCTAATTTTGTTTTTGTGCAGTTAATTGTGCAAGAGCCTGGTATATATGACAAACGCCACGCAGACTATGCTAGGCTGGACAAAGTATATTTTGCTTGGGAAAGAATTTCTCATGAGTCTGGGATCCAGGTTAAGTTCTTTCGAAAGAGTATAAGCACCTGAGTGTAAATTATTGCAGAAGAACGGATGTACCCAATGTTTTCTTTTCCTAATGTTGTTTTTAAGGATCCTGTTGCATTAATATATAATTTATTTCACACATATATTTCCGTCTTAAATACAGCTTACTATCTAGTCCCCCTTCCTTCACACTACGTATTTCTGCCTTATACGGCCATCATCGGGTGTCTCCTGTCTTGCTAAAATTGTTGCACTGTATGTCAAAATTTCGTATCGCGTGTGAACGTGATATTTCTTGATTAAAATAAATTCACCTTAATTAAAATTGATAAAAGTAATTAACATTCCAGTGTTTTCCTTATGGTCGTCATAATTATGTTATTATCTGATATTGCAGAAGATAAGTGCACGAAATAAAAATTAAAATCACGCATTAAGTCGCACGAGATGACCTGAGCAACTAATCAAACATAATTTTCCTCAGCGTGCTTAATCGGTTACGTTTCTCGAAAGTTGGGGATGCTTTGCAGTTTCCAGTTTCTTTTCTCACTCATCAGCTGCTGTGACTGCGGAGCGTGGGATAGGTCGCAGCCGCCCAGCGAAGACATCACTCAGGTGCTTGGTGTTCTCGACTGGAAGTCATGAGCATTACCGCCGAGGCAACCTGCGCAGACTGAACCAACAGGTTCTGAATACATTTTACATGAGCAGTTGTACAGTTGAGGGAACTTTGGGCCTTATCGATCAGCCCGGTTGCCTGTTACGTTTATCTTATTAAATAGTAAACTAGCCTTAAACATTTATTAACGGGGTGGTGATAGCAACGGAAAACTCATGATGTAATAGTTATTGGTACGTAACTTCCCCGAGTAGGTACTTGGTAGTTCAAGAAAATCCCCTTTTGGTTCACTAACGGCCGTCGACATCTCATTCGATAAAGTGAAATGTGTTGTAGTGACGTAAAGTCGGGAATCAGCCTGATACACAAAGCGAAAAGTACCGCTCTAGAACAGAGAGCGCGAATTGTCGGCATACAAGCCACAGTTGTCAGTTAAACTACCGTGGGGCATTATAGTCGGACTAACGTAAATAATTAAATTTTTTGTAAGATTTGAGGCTTTCACGACTGTGACTATGAAGAAAGCAGTTTTCTGGGATTTGGCACCATGTATATGTGGTGTTAACCGACGTTTCGGAGGAACGTATCGCCTCCATCTTCNATTTCTTATATTTTTTCTTCTGCCCTGAAGATGGAGGCGATAAGTTCCTCCGAAACGTCGGTTAACACCCCATATACACGGTGCCAAATCCAAGAAGACTGCTTTCTTCGATTAAATTGTTGTATAATTGCGGTATATTCTTTCGTCATATATTTGTTTTTATTTCCATGCCTTTTATTCTTCCGTTTTCCCCACGTCCATTCTTATGTACTCAAGCTGCGCTTTGTTCACGTCCGTATTACAGTTCCCTTTCCTTATATCGTGGCAGTAGTGTGGCTCGTAATTCTGTCTGCATGTTAGCAGAGTTATTATTCACAGGTTTCACACACAGCTGTCTCATTAGATCTTTAGAATGAATCTCCATTCTTCATACATATCTGTGGCTAGGAACTTGTGGTATTCATTCCATTTAAAACTAAGAAATTTGCATGTAAGAACATTAGTAAAAAAGTAAAGTTGTCCCTGTGCTGAATTATTGAAGTACTACACGTTGATTGCGTATGGGGCAGTGGATGTATAGTTCCACATTTTCTTGATCTCGGCACCAGCTGGAGGTGAGTGGTCAGCTTCACGTCCCTGTCGCTTTATCCCCGGGAAAAGAACCCCCCACCCGGTACCCATTGGATAAGAAGCAGGGCGGACCCCAGAGCTGTGTTGGGCTGTGTTGTGTTTTTGTTCATTCCAGAGAAATTTCCGATGAAAAGTAATTCCAATATACGTCACTTTCATTGGCTGAGGAATTTAGTCGCTGACGGGGTAGTTCCAGTAGATGCGTGTGTGAACATCGGGCGAAGATTTGCTGCGGGCCTCGCCAGTACAGTTGTTCTTGGTTTCCGTTCCCGCCGGGACTCATGAACGAATATTCTTACATATTTCAATCTGAGGCCTCTTCGACTAGAGGAGGGGGTCTGACTACTACTCGACAACTCATGGTTCTTGGTTTCGGACCTCTCGGTATTCATGACCATGTTTTTCTGTTTCACGACTCTTAGCTCTTGTTATTTTCTGTAGGTCTGTGTGTCTGTGTATCGGTCGGGTAAGTTGCTGACCTCGTCAGCACAGTCATTCTTGGTTTGAAGTACCACGGGACTCATGATCATATATTACTACTCTAGGAGTCATGCAACTCTTCTCGTTTGTCTGATCAGTCCAGCAAATTGGTGCTGATCTTCGCCAACACAGTGAATGTTAGCTCTGAGTCCCACGGGGATCATGGCCATATTTGAATGTTTGTCGGCTCTGGGAGCCTTCAGACCACTCAACACCAATCCCGAGGGCGAACTGACAAGAAAACATCATGATGTGCGTACCAATAAGGCATATATTTCCTTCATAACTGCTGAAGCCTGAAGTTTGTGTGACTTAAACTTTCGATTTCCTACTTCACAGAAAACACACAGTGTCTCATTACAAAGATCAGTCGGCTAATGCTGTTAGGGAAACAATCGTTAATTTTTATAATCTCCTGTTCCCCAGCGTACACAGTGTAAAATTCAGAGGTTCCTAACGGTACATCAGGTGGTACACATTGTAACCACTGTTTTAACTGGATAAGTGGTTTTTATGCGACCGTCATTTTGACGCCTCGCGTTTTGCCCTGACCCCTGCCTGTTGCCTGAAGGATTGTCATTGTTAGGTCAGACATGATGGCGACAAGCTTTGTAACTAACTCCATGTAGCTGACCTTGCTTGAGAAGTTAATGCTTGATCAGCTAGTCCCAGCATTTTATGGAGCTCGTAGATTCAGTATCGTGTTCACGAGAGCTCGCCACTTATCTCTATTCTGAACCACATCAGTTCAGTCCGCATCCTCGAGAAGCATGTAGATCCATTTTAATATTTTCCTCTCATCTACGCGTATGTCTTCGTTTTGGTTTATTTACTTTCAGGTTTCCGCCCCAAAGCTTCGTAGGGTTCTCATCACTGATAATGCAAGCGAAAAGTAACGAGAGAGCTTTACTTTGTAAGATCTTCGTATTCTTTCATTATTTTTTATCGTAGTTTAACTGTTTGAAGGCGACGGTAGTAGCAAATTTGAATGTAATGTCCCGACATTCACCTGGAAATGTAAAGTGAAACGATATGAAACTTGTACAAGGATGACCGATGACCTGACTTAGATTCGAACCCTGATTCTTCCTAATAATGTTCTAGAGTAATGCCGTTGCACCACCTCCTTTGTGACAGTTTATTTAACGGTATATTTTTAACGACGCTCTCAGATTTGGAAAGGATACGAGCCGGATCTGTCGTATAATTGAGGTATCACCTTGGTAATATTTGTAAGGACTGAGTAAAACCACGAAACATGTCATACATGATATCCGGTCTCGAGACGGGCTTCCGTCTCCAAGCGGGACATCTTTGATCTTTACCATTTTTTTTTGCGGCATAGAGTTTGGGAGAAACTGAGTGATAACAGACGAGACAAACGGACTTTGGTGATTATATATAATTATTACGAACAGTATGGGATGGCATTTTCCGGGGGCGATGTTCTCCCACTGCCGTCAGTTAGCGCTGCTATTGTTAATTAATTTATCGCCCGTTAGCACTGACGGATGTTTGTTTTGTTGCAGAAGAGGAGTGGGGAGCGGATGGAAAATCCCGTGGGCCTCCGGGAACCGACCAATCAGGTGAGTTCGCTAATCGAGTTGTGTTACCATGTAATTTAATGTTTCACGTCTCCACATCTATATGTGTAAATCATGCCATTCATATGAGGGCTGTAGTTATGAGGCAATATATTGTGGCATGTAGACCCGTTGCTAGGCAACGACTACGAAATAAACAACTATACAACGGCCGTAACTAGGCAACGGCCCTTAAACAGCAACAGAGGGACGGTGTTTTCTCTGCGATCCGTTCTGAGATGTTACAAGCAGGACAAGTTAGAAGTTGCATTCAGTTAGTAGAGAGAGTTGGTTGGTGAGCTGATGAGTTAGACGACTGCTGTGCTTCAGTCGTGGTGAGCTCTTGTTGTGAGAAGCTGGTAGCCGAGGACGGGGACGGTTCGGTAAACTAGAAGAAGGGAAACGTCCACCGTTGGATGCCGTTACCACCCGATGGCCAGTGAAGACTGCAACAGACTGGGAAGACCTAGCGTGTCCTATAGTGATTTTTGACGTGTAATAACGAGTTGTATAAGTGTGCGGTAAATCCGATTGCCAATCTAACCCCCGTCTATAGTCACTAAAATTACGTGGCAGGATGTAGAGACTACACAGTCACAGTGCATGGAGCCAGTATGCTCTGCCTAGTGACTGAAGATTTTGACGAATTAAATGGAAACATTTATAAAATTAGACGTTATGCAAATAATGTTGCATTGAATGTTAATATTCATTGTTATTTCAGATAAATATACTGTCATATGTATGAGTGACTGTAGACGGGGTTTGGACTGGTAATCGGATTTATTGAACTATTATACAACTGTCACTGTTCTACACGCTTCACAAATCACTATAGGACATACTAGGTCTTTTCAGTCTGTTACAGTCTTCACTAGCCGTTGCTTGGCAGCGGCTTCCAACGGCGGACAGTCCGCTTTCTCTGGGTTCCCGAACTGTCCCCGGCCTCAACTGCCAGCTTCTCACAGCAACAGCTCACAACGACCGAACTTCAGCAGTTCTCTATCTAACTCACCCATTCACCAACCAACTCTTCAGTTCACTGACCTACTTACTCCTCACTTGTCCTGCTTGTAACATCGCGACATGGACCGCATAGAAAACACCACATCCCATTATTGTTGTATCCTCTTGTTGCCGTGGAATTGTTTCGTACGTGTTCGTTGGGGGAGCCGCTACCTAGCAACGGCTGTTGTATAGTTGCTTGTTGTTGCCTAGCAGCGGGTCTACGAGTACATGCCACAATACAAAGAATTAAACAGGGTAGGCTTATGTGTAAAGAAAGACAAAGCGATCAAGAAACCGCAATGACTGGACGTCACTGTTGAATGTTGAGAAAGCTGTACAACATAACTCCTCTGATGTGTTATCGGACACGTTCATGAGTAACAGGCTACCAGCAGTCACTTCTACGTTTCATTGATTCGTACATTCTTCAGTGGCTCTAGAGCCCTTTGTTGGGACCTGGCCTCCTCTTCAGTTTCCTATCTTTTTTACACAGTCGGTAGGACTCCTTGGGCGAGTGAGCAGCCCGTCGCAAGGCCTCTACCTACACACAGAACAACACAAACACGGAATAAACACACACACACAGACATCCATGCCTTTGAGTGGAATTCGAACCCACGATCCCAGTGTTCGAGCGAGCGAAGACAATTCATTCCTTAGACCACGAGGCCACTGCGACCGGCAGCTCTGTACATTTCACATAACTGAAATCCTGGGTTTTGATGATCGGCTCGTATTTTGAAAGAATATAACGTTTCGGAAACTGAAATTGTTTCTTCCCTCAGGTGAAAAGGTGGGGTGACACCTACTTAGTTGGGTCTGTTAGAAAGAGCAGAAATATTCTTTCAGAATACTGGGCGATAGAAAAGTTTAGAAGCTCTGTAACACAGAGTGCAATATACCATAAGCAGAAGCCTTCAGAATCGAATCATATTCACGTTTTTGTCAAAAATTCATCCTTGTAGTCGTTTTTACATGACAGCGACGTTTGCGTTCTTGTTACATGTCGGAGAGAGAAACCGCGTAAAATAAATGTTTGTTTTTCTGTAGATTCGATATAGAAATGAGGGTTACGTTCCTGACAGGATACATTTCAGTGATCAGCGTGGGATGTGCGATCCTTTGTTACTCGTATTTAGAACTGGAATAACATTGTAACAACAGAAAAGACGGTACTGCATTATGGATCTAAACACCGTTAATATCAAAGCCTGGAAATGGATAGAATAATCCGGCAGTTTCAACCACATCTCGTGCCTCTTCTTTCTAGTATCTTAATGTTGTCTTCTCTAGTATGAAAGATAAACATCGTCCAGTGTCATTGATAAATGTTTTCTCCTTTGTAATCTTTAATCCTTGACATGTTTTGGTCGGAGCGACCATCTTCAGAAGGACACATCAGTACATGCGGAAACTACGATTACACCGTGATTGGCCATTATAAATACATACATACATACAATGTATACATAGTATTACAGTGTGATGAATATAAAATCTTAGCCTTTAACAATTACAACGATGTACGTGAATTTATTAACATATTTATAAATTATTATAGTTTATTTATTTACAAGTGATGTTTAAAAAGTTTGCTAAATTCTAGAACCAATTTGGTTCGTGCCCTTTATACTGCCTCTCTTTAAAGGAAGTTGAGTGTCTACCGCGGCGTGGTTCCGTTGTTTGGCGAAGAGGACTCTGCAGATATCTTATGGATATTATGTACTCTTTCTGTTGCTAGTGCGACGGACCAGGATGAACCAGAGCAAATTTATTTTATCATTTCCTCAGAATTTGACTGATCGTTTTAAATAAGATTTCCACCAACATTCTATAAGCCAGTGCTTTGGTTCTGGAACAAGAGGCTCGGAAATGCTGATATTGAAGTAGGTAAGAGGTAAAATTGCCGGTCACGGTAGCCGAGCGGTCTAAGGCATGTACTGTCTTCGCTCGCTCGGAAGCCGGGATCGTGGGTTCGAATCCCACTCAAGGCATGGATGTTAATTTGTGTGTGTGCGTTTTTCTGTGTTTGTGTACAGGTATAGCCTTGCGACGAGCTGATCACCCGCCCAAGGAGTCCTACCGAATGTGTAACATCTAGAAAAACCGAAGTGAACGGAGAAGTTCATGGAGGTAGGCCTAGGCCTAGGCCCACTGGGGCTGTAGTGCCAAGGGGGAAAAAAAAGTAAAATTGTCTCTGTGCTTAATTAATTAATTAATTAATTAAGCACTGTGCCATGAAGACGTATGGTAGAGTAGAGGTATAGCTCCACCTTTCTCGGCCTCGATACTAGGTGGAAGTGAATGGTCAGCTTCACGCCCGCTCGCTTAACCCCCGGTGGGATAACACCACTGTACCCTTTGGAGAGGGGGCTGGGTGGGCCCCAGAGCCGCTCTGGGCGCTATGAAGAAGAGAAAAATCTTGCCTTGCTGGAGGTAATATTTATTACGTTCCTGTCAACACAGCGTTTTTTCCAGCAGGTAGAGTTTGCTGACCAGGACGATATGTTTTCCCACGCGTGCACCTTTAGTTACAGGTATTATTCTTATCGCAGATTCCCCATGTAAACCCAGTGGATCCACCGGAGTGTTATGCACTACTCGTATATGGGCCTGTACTATAAAGTTGTCCCTAGACGTTTGGGGGAATAGCTGTATACATCAACCATTCTTGATCTCTGCACTACATGGAGGTGAGTAGTCAGTTCCACGCTCCGGTCCCTGGTACCCGGAGCCGGTGTGGACGCTGTGGAGAAGAGAAAATTCTCTTGCCACAGCCAGGAATCGAACCGCGACGGTCCAGTCCACAAACATTTTCCTCTTACTGGGTACAGCATACCGGCTCATTCATAGCTGCTGCTCGGTGAAGTACAGTAACATATACCGAATGCAGGGACCACGTGGGCGGCTATTGACTGCGTCCCACATGAGACTCAGTGACTTTGTGGTAATCATTTTGGAGCACGAGGTTTCCTCCTTGTCGTGTCTTTCTTTAAGAATCGAGACAAGTCTGACGTTTAGATTCCTATCGATCAGGCCCTCGAAGCGAGCTATCAGAGAGGATGGAGATACTATCAAACCCCCGGCCAGTAAATCAGAGTGAGGAAATGCACTATGCTCCTGAACACATGGAAGTGTTCGAAAGAAAACACTTCTCGTACTTCATGACTTATGTTGTTACCCGAAAAGTGAGCTAGCTTCTCTACTCGCTCATGGCTCACCATGTTAATACTTTTATGCAGCTGAGCTAAACAAAAAAAGTCGAGTCAGAGTTACTGTACGCCTGGCGGTGTACCGCCAATCAGTTCGTCTTGGCGCCAAGCCCTTTGAGACTCACGAACAGAGATATTTTTTTTTAACTGAACCCTTGCGGTCATAGTCCTTATGTCACATCCCCTTACGAGAACATCAGGTTGTCTTTTACGGATATGCTTGGCCTTTTGTGAAGCGGACGTATCGGACATAAAAAAAACAAACTCCGTGGTTTTAGTCCACAAGCGATCTCTACCGAGAGACCGCTGCTTGTCTGCGAAGTTAGTGGCAACTTTTAAGAATAGAGGGTGTCGCGTGGTCAGCGCAACCAATCCCCACAGCCGTTANACAGAGATATTTTTTTTTAACTGAACCCTTGCGGTCATAGTCCTTATGTCACATCCTCTCTGACTGGAGGATTGGTCGTTTACAATTTCTGCTGGTCTTCACAAGCGCAGTCATTCTCGGTTTGAGTCCCGCGGGATCATGACCACATTTTACTGTCTCAGATTCGANCGAGAGACCGCTGCTTGTCTGCGAAGTTAGTGGCAACTTTTAAGAATAGAGGGTGTCGCGTGGTCAGCGCAACCAATCCCCACAGCCGTTAATTTCGGTTTTCTAGACCGGAGCCGCTACTTTTCCATTCACGTATCTCGTCAGTTATCCTCACGAGGCTAAGTGGACCACTGGATCTGTAGCCAGGTACTCTGGCCACTAGACCACAGAGGCGGTTCGGACATGTA